TGAAGAGACTGCAACCAACAGAGAAGTGTTTCAGGAAAACAAAATCTTTGCTTGAGGAATCTTGTGCTCAAGGTAGGAACTTTGCAGTAACTTTTAGAACCCAAAAATGAAAACAGTTGTGTGTATATTTGATTCTGGTAGAAGTGGTCTGAACTCACAGCCTGCCCTGAAAATGGCAAATGTAATCTAAACAATTTTATCCCATTTAGACGGTCTAGCTGGCTGCCGTCAGGTACAGAGCTTCCCCCGTGATATTTAAACCTTGCTTTCCTAAAACCCATTGCCCCCAAATCTATGAGGGAAAAGATGCCAATTCTGGGAAATGATGAGGGAAAAAGTCAAATCAGTGTTGTCACATTTCTCCAGTTTAAACCATAATGAAAAATTTGTAAATTAAAAAAAAAAAAACAACACCAAGGAATGCTGACCGACCGTTCTGTTTCAATGCTAAGGGATTTTAGAAGTAAATTAGTGTGTGACTGACTTCCCACTGTAGCCGCCACATTTGCTGATCGTTAAGGATTAAATCAAATAAATTGTAAAAAGAAATGTGTCTGGACTGTTAGTTGTTTTTGCTTTTACCACCAAACAACCAGAGAAGATGTTCAGACAAAAAAGGGCCATCCTGTGGTTTCTGCAGTGGGGTTGGGGGATTTCCATTGGGAAAACTGGAAGAGAAAAAGGAGGAAATAATTTAAGGTTTGGGGAAAAGTATTATTTTTTTGCAGCCTCCCCCCTCCACCCCTCTCACCCCCAACACACACGCTACACTAAGAGCAACCTTTCTTCCACCCTATGCCACTGCTCCCGTCACTTCTGGAACCTCCTTGCTACTTCTACATAAAAACGAGAATGTAAAGAATTCCCTTATGTTTGACTTTGCCCTAAACGGCAATTTAACAACCAGAAAGTAAGGGCCCTTTCACACAGCCCTATCAAGGCAGAAAATCTCACAATATCTGCTTTGTACTGGGTTATCTGAGTCCACACTCAGATAATGTGGGATTTTCTGCTTTGATATTCTGGGATATAGGGCTGTGTGGAAGGGCCCTGGGTCTATCCCCCCCTCCCCCGCACCCCTTATGTACATCTTACACCAGCTATTAGTTTTCTAGAGGTTCCAGCAATTCTCAGACCTTGTCATCCCATCTGAAATGAATGTGGTAATATTAATATATCTACATACTTTCCAGGGCTCAGGTAAAGATTATCAAACTAATTTACATGATTGCAAACAATAGCAATGCTACAGTAGTGTGGTATTAAAGTGTTGCACTTGTCACCTTGTGGCCACACTGCGTGACAAAACTCATTGGATCTCTTGTTCTTTTTTAGTGTCTTTAGTGCTATTGCTAGAATGGGCTAAGGAGAGGGAGAACCATGTCTGTAGCATCCTGAGCTCCTTTGAGAAATCATGGGATGTGATTGTAGCTAAGAAAAAAAAATGATATTTTGTATTGATTTGCTTGGGCTTTGATGGTTTCTTTGGTACTGTTCTATTATCTGGGTGGAGGCCAAAAGGGGGTGTTAGACAGAGAAGGATAGTCCATTTTATGGGAGGGGAGAGTTGAAGGACGATAAGCATTCCCCCCTGTTTTCACTGGTTATTTCCCCTTTCCACTTCCCATTTTATAAACAAGGATTGTGTCCATGATGGGGACATGGGAAAGGGGAATAACAGGAAAATTGCACTCCTTCAAAACCACCCCTCCCCCCGTAAAATGGACTATTCTTCTCTGTCTAGCACCCTCTTTTGGCCACCACGCATATAATGAAATAGTACAGTTTCTTTTATATACATATACAGATATGATCATTCCTCTCTGCATCTTTTCATAGTCTTCTGCAGATTCCCAATATCTCCACCATGTTCCTGCTGCTGTTTCTCATCCCTGGCTTGACTCTTTGTGCATCCAATGTCTCGACAGGAGATGTCCAGCCTACCAAAGTGAGCCCACTTCAAGACATTCAGAAAAAAATCAATGATCTTTGGTTGAGTTTGCTCTACCCACAGGTCTATGAGGAGGTACTTACATCTAACGGGACTGCTTATGCTGTTTGCACAGTGAAGCCCAGCACCAAACTGGATGCAGGCATGCCACAAGTGACAGGACAAGTTCTGTTCAAACAAACCTACCCGTATGGAAGACCGGAGGCTATTTTCTATTTGGATGGGTTTCCTACAGGTGCCAACTTGTCTGGCAGAGCGATTCACGTCCACCAGTATGGAGACCTCAGTGACAGCTGTGACTCTGCTGGGGGACACTACAACCCTTTTAAAGTCAATCACCCTTCCCATCCTGGAGACTTTGGCAACTTCTATTCCAAAGAAGGCAAAATTAAAAAATATAAGACCAATCTTGCAGCCACTCTTTTTGGTCCATACACCATTATGGGAAGATCTGTTGTGATCCATGCACAGGAAGATGACCTTGGGAAAGGGAACAACCCAGCCAGTTTGGAGAATGGAAATGCTGGCAAACGCTTAGCTTGTTGCGTTATTGGAACATGCAACAAAAACCAGTGGGTGAAGCGGTTTTCAGAGATTATGGAGAAGAGGAAGAAAAGGCTCACAAAACGTGCACAGAACAGCCCAGCCTAGGTGAAGACCAAGGAAGGATACAGAAGTTCACAATAGATTTCATATCCTGCTATGCTGGTTGCTAAACAAAAGGAAAGGCTTTCTGCTTTCCTTGAGAAGGTTAAGATATGCCATTGCTCTCTCATAGTCCTCCATTCTGTAAGTAGATTAATACTAATAAAAAAAGTCGCAGCATATTCTTTCGAAGTTCATATTCAGGCTCTCCACCCACGCCAAAATGTACTCTTGATATAGTAAGGAGGGCTAAACGCTTTGCCACTGAAATCTTGAGCAATCCCTGCTTATTGTCTGTCCTATCAGTTGAAAGAATCTCCTGAACAAGAAAGCTGGAGGAACAAAAGGTAAAAATAAATGTCTTCAACGGAGATGATGTGCTCTGTTTTCCTACATACCTTAAATGCATAAAGAAATACATTTCTTCCCCCAACCTTTCCACTGTTTGAGGATGGGCTGGAAGTCAGTGATAACAGCTTTCCCCTCTGAGCTCAGGTAGGAGTCTGCACATTATTTCTATTTTAAAACTTCAGATCCATTATTTTATTCTGCTTATATTTGCAGGTTTTGCTTCCTAACTCTTTTAAGCTTCTTAACTGGCTTGAGTTATCCTCAATCCGGTAGCTCTGTCACACTGTTTTCATTTGAAACCAGGCTTTACAAGAACACTCCTGGATTTTCTTAGTCAGTCAGGAAATATTTGTAAAAGCGCGTAGCTTCATGAACATCTGGCCAAATTGTGTAATGTTGTTTGTACAATAAAGATAAGTTTTCGGGGCTTGGACTCTTTCTACATGCTTTGTAGAGTGAACGCTGTCCCGTGTATACATTCAAACGATGTCAATCAGAATAAAACATACTTCAGATTTTTACTCTGTTTTTCTTTTACAACTGTGTAAAAGTATTAGTTTGTAAACTGACACACACACCATCATTCAAGTGAGTGGCAAGGCACTGGAGGCCATAACAACAACAACAACAACAACAACAACAACAACATTTATTTATTTATTTAGAACGTGCCCTCTGTCCCCGAAGGGACTCAGGGTGGTTATAATCTAGTTCAGTGTTTCTCAGATTAATAATCTTTATTAAATTTCCAGTTTACATTTAAAATAGAGATATGTAGCCGAGGCTACTAAGAGGTGTAAAATGTGATAATTGAGTGTAAAAGAGGTGTAAAATGTGATAATTGAGTGTTTCTCAACCTGGTGGTCGGGACCCGTGGGGGGTCGTGAGGGGGGTTTCAAAGGGGTCACCACAAATCATCAGAAAACATAGGTGAAGGTCTCTCCACATTTCCTTCTCTGCCTTTTTGATATTGGTGAATGACAACTCCCAGAATTCAAAAACAGCTCCCCTGACCCCACCAGTATTCAATGTTGGCTATGTAGGTAGTGTACCAAGTTTTGTGCAGATCCATTGTTGGCTGGGTTTAGAGTGCTCTTTGATTGTAGGTGAACTATAAATCTCAGCAACTACAACTCCCAAATGTCAAGGTCTATTTTCCCCAAACTCCATCAGTGTTCACATTTGGGCATTTTGAGTATTCGTGCCAAGTTTGGTTCAGATCCATCATTTCTCACCTACATTCAGTGCTCTCTGGATGTAGGTGAATTACAACTCCAAAAGTCAAGGTCAATGCCCACCAAATCCTTCTGGTATTTTCTGTTGGTCATAGGAGTTCTGTGTGCCAAGACTGGTTCAATTCCATTGCTGGTGGAGTTCAGAATGCTCTTTGATTGTAGGTGAACTATCAATCCCAGCATCTACAACTCCTAACTGACAAAATCACCCCCCCTCCTGAACCCCACAAGTATTCACATTTGGGCATATTGGGTATTTGTGCCAAATTTGCTTCAGTGAATAAAAATACATCCTGCATATCAGATATTTGCATTACAATTCATAATAGTAGCAAAATTATAGTTATGAAGTAGTAGCAAAAATAATTTTATGGCTGGGCATCACCACAACTTGAGGAACTGTATTAAGGACTTGCGGTATTAGGAAGATTGATCTAGGTCCATGAAAACCGCTGTGAAAGTTTTGCTGGTCACAAGCCAAACAAATTGGAATAGTTTTGCAATTCAATATTAACAGTGGATCATAACCTGCTATAATGCTTGGAAAGTCTCACAATTAAAATCCAAGTACTGACCACTATGGCCACAATCCAGAAAATCAATATATGCATACAGTTATGTATCTGACAAGAGGGGGAGGGATATTAACACTAGGTTGCATTTTCAGTCTTTGAAAACAATTGCCCATAGAGATCCCCAGCTCATAAACATTTCCATTATTTTATTTACTTGGGTCAATGAAATTCACTTGAAAATTCTCCAGAGAGTTAAGACTCACTGTAAACTTTATGAAAAAACACATTGCAGACAACACAAAATATAGATAAACATATCAGAACATTTCTTTATTACATCTGACAAAATACATAAGACATAACTTCATGCCAAGGATGCAGCAAAAGCAAGGTCTGCAATAAATAGAATATATGTTTAAGGAAAGTATTCGGTGGAATCAACAGCTGAATTTAAAATAAACTAAAATATTTAAAGCTTTGGTATTTAAAAAGGGACCTCCACCTAATTTATTAAAATATATACCTGAGAGTTTAAGGCTCAAAAAACCACTGAGAAATATGCAGATTGCTTTACACATAACGTCAGACTCATTTTTGTTTAATTAATTCCTCCCTGCCTCCCAAATCCAAATGCTTTTTATGACTGTTAAATATTTCCACAACAAAAATATTTCAACATACAAACAATTGTGGGTCCCTTTTCCATTTCCGAGTGTTTGTTGGCTTTTGGAAGGATGTTTGCAAAAGAATTGAGGCCAAAGATGATTCTTGAAAGAAAAGTATGTGAAAGGACTCTGAATTTCTGAAAGCCATCTAGTTTCCAAAACTGATAAAGGAATGCAATCATTCACTGAATGATTTAAAGCTAGAGAAAAAGAGAGGGGGGGGGGGGCAGAGCGAGAAAGAAGGCAGACAAATGAACAAATAGTCCCTCCACCCCATCTCACTTAGGCACACAAGGCATCATTATCATCACCATCACCACCACCACCATAATTATTACATGTTAACATAGTTTACACCTCCCACACTATTTTTATCAGTAATGATCATGTATAGAGGAAATGTTTAGGAGTCACAAGTGATTTTTTTAATGTCAGGAACAACTTGAGAAACTGCAAGTTGCTTCTGGAGTGAGAGAATTGGCCTTCTGCAAGGACATTGCCCGGGGGGGCGCCCGAATGTTTGATGTTCCTCCTTGTGGGAGGCTTCTCTCATGTCCCTGCATGGGGAGCTGGAGCTGACAGAGGGAGCTCAACCTGCTCTCCCCGGAATAAAAAACTGCTGACTTTTCGGTCAGCAGTCCTGCCAGCATAAGAGCACATTGTGCCACCAGGGATTACTATAATGCTTACTATAATGAAATTGAAATTGGTCTAAAATTAGTAACTGGGACAGACTGGAAGACCTCTAACGTTCACTGCCCTACACAAAGATGCACACTATTATCTAATGGAGTCTGTGCTGAGGACAGTTGGGCTATTGAGGATCAGAAACAGGGCAGATTTGCCACTAAGTCCAGTAATATGCTTGTCTATGAAAAAATGAATAACAGCTCAAATCAATCTGGAATAACAATAATTTATGTTTGATTAGATCAGTTTTCTTCCGAGCAACTGTGATATATGGGCACGGAGCAATTTCCCTCACCTCAATGTCCCAAAAGTTTCTAGGCGCATTGGAGAAAATCCTGTTCTAGGTTTTGGTAGATCTAGGTATGGAACACCATGCCAACTTCTCTGCATCTCTATTTGGCAGGGAGTTGCTCACACAAGATGGTGACAGTGTCATTTTCTCCATAGTAACAGATATGGATTCACTGTGTACACAAGTGATAAATACAATGCACTCTTGTACCCCGTCCACTGGTTTTCCTCCAGCCATTTTTCTTGGAGCCAGTTTATCAACTGCTATTTATGGAGTCTTTCAATGGTTTTAATTAGGGGCTGAATAAATGTAGTTGTATCGCAGGATTATATTGTATAAGTTGAGGATCCTTTATCCAAAATGTTTGGGATCAGAAGTGTTTTGAATTTTTTGAGGAGGGGATTTTGGAATATGTGTACATACACCTTGGAGATGGGACTCACGTCTACACACAAAATTTAGTTCTGTTTCATATACATATAATATACATAGCTGAGAGTTATGTTATATAATATTATTAATAATTTTGTGCACTGAATGCAATGTAGTCATTATATCAGCCACTCAGGTGGATACTTTCAGGAGCCTTTCACATTTTAGATTTTTGGATAAGGGATGCTCAACCTATTCTATTGTACAAGCTGTGATAAGATATAATCAGGAACACTTTCTAGGTTTTTGCAGAAAGCAAAATTTCTAGATGGCAAGGGAAGAAGCCTCAACTAAGGAAGCAGGAATGATAGGCATTAATGTCTCTGGAATGAAGCTGTATTGTTCTCAGAGAAATGAGCCAATGCTGTTGATGCTTAAGGCTGTGTCTTAACCACATTTACAAGTAAGTCATTTCCAATGACCACAGTGGGAATTACTTACAAGTAAACACGCACATGACTGAGCTGTGAAATCCAAATGGGAAGTAACATGGAATAACCACTCATCCTTCACTCTGCCTTTTCTAGTTTGGCAGGTGAGCAACTTGATGTACTTATACTGTGTGACAGTATAGATAGTATGTTTCTTGACTCCTTCTTTTTTCATTGGGTATTGTGAGAAGGAAGGCATCCAATGTTATAACATCACATCAACAGCAATATTTGTTAACTATAGTAGTACTGTCTCTTATAACGGTTTCTATGACTATTGGAAAATTAAAGAAACCAGTGGATCCCAAAGGTGCTATCAAAAGTTTTTGAAAAATTAATGCAAAAACACATGTGGAATGATAAAAGAACAAAAATAAATTAAATACAAAAGAGGAGCATTTAAACTGATTCAATTAAAATAACAGGCCATGTACTTTAGTTGACATGAGAAAATACCCCAAATATTTAGAAAACCAACACTTCAGAACAGTGGTTCCCAACCTGTGGTCCGAGGACCACCAGTGGTCTGCAAGAATGAAAATATGGTCCGTGGCCTCATCATTACTACCCCATTGCCTCGAAATCATGCGACAATGAGCAACTGGTCTCACAAAACCCTTTTATAGTGCTGAGGCAATGGGGATGTTGGGAAGGGAGAGACTGACTATCTACGAAAGGTTACTACCACATCTGCTCTAGATTATTAAATATTATTTTCTATGGGAGAGCAGATGGTGACTACTAGGTGGCATACATTCTGTATCAGAAACTAGAGCTGATGTGGTCTATCCAATGCAGTTTTCTGAATCAGCACCCCAAATAACCAAACCGAATCTAAAGTTGACCAAAAACTGATTTGTAACCCTTTTGGTACTAATGTTGGGGAGTGGTCCTTGGGCAAAGTGGTCCCTGTTCAAGTGGTCCCTGGGCAAAGTGGTCCCTCGTCAAAAAAAAGTTGGGAACTAGTGGTCTAGAAGGACAAGAATGAGTGGTTTTGTATAAAGATTATGAAGCTATAAAGGTAGCAAACAAGAGGAAAACAGTTTTGAAGGATACAAGGAAAGTTAGCAACCATTTACTATGCTCTTATCCTCCTTTGTGACTTTGCAAGGAGTCACTGAACTTCCTCTGTGCTTTTTCAATTTCTAACGTTTACACCACTGGAGCTCAAGTACAGTGATTACAGATCAACATGGCTGCATCTTAATATCTAGATGCTCCATTTTAGACTTGTCTTCATTCTGGCTTGCTTTCTATACATTTAGTTTTTACATACATATACAATTTAGTTTCACCCATTAATATCTTTCCAACTCATCTGAAGACATAAAATTCAAATGCCAAAATTTCCATTGGCACAGCTGAACGTCAAAGTACTCTGCTTGAAAAAGCAAATAGCCATCATGGTCTTATTTACACAAAGATGCCCTGCTGTCTTGATGACTTTGCTACACTAGGAGTTCATCAGCATTAGCTGTAGTCCTTATCAGGCTGTGACAGAACCAGAAAGAAATATTCATCTAGAAATGAATAATGGGATATGGTATGTCTTATTTATGATGAGCAAAATTCCAGAATTTCATATTCATGAGTACTGGGCACATTCATTATTCTTTCGACTGTATCAGGTTTGTCATTCCTATCACAACAAATCGAGACAATAAGGCTATCTGTTATTTTACCAATAAAAGCACAAACGCTATGCTGAGTCAATAACATTGTCAGCTACTCCATCAATAAAAGCAACAGTACCACAAATTCAAGAGATAACGTAAACCTCCCCCTTTCTCCTCCACTCCACTATGAGGAATGAAATTATGCAAACTAACCAATGATGGACGCTTTTTTATTAATGCATGGGACAACAATATTTGGACAATGTTTTTTTTAAAAGAGTGGGATGAAAATAGGAATATGATGCAATGGCGTATTAAAGGACCATTGTAAAGATTGTTTTGCTTTGCTGTATTTGGGGCATAGTAGCTGCACAGGTGGGTGTCAGTCAAAGAGGCCCAAATGATTTTGGAGGTGGGGGGTGCAATTATGAAAATCTAACCTGCAACTTTTCTCTTTGCAAAGTACTGTAGTTTATGAGCAACCAATCCACATCCTTTGGACAAACAAATACGTCTACCAAAAAGCTTTCCTATCTGCTGTAGTAGCTACAAGTTCTCTCAAGTGCTACCTAACCACACCATGTTCTTCTTCTCACCTTCTCCCTGCTGTGATGTAAGTAAGAAGTAAGTAGGATGAACCCAGATGTTATGAAATGGGCCTCTTTGACTGATACCCACCTGTTAAAACAAATAACTTTCGGGAATCTAGACAATTCTGAACAGAAAAAGTCCTTTATATAAGGTGCATGTTCACTTGGGAGCCTTCTGATCAGAGCCACACATGCTAGTCCAATTTACCTGTCCGAACGTATCCTCCTCTATGAGCCATCAAGATTACTAAGATCGTCTGGAGGGGCCCTGCTCTCGATCCCACTGGCCTCAAAGGTGCAGTTGGTGGGGGACGAGAGACAGGGCCTTCTCGGTGGTGGCCCCTCGACTCTGGAACTCCCTTCCACTGGAGATCAGAACTGCCCCTTCGATCTTAACATTCAGGAAACAGGTGAAAATCTGGCTTTGGGGATTGGCATTCAACGAATGAGCCATGATCCTGTGATATGGATGGATGACGACGAATAATGACTTTGATGACGACTGACCACTGTAATCATATGATTGTATTTTTACCATTTTAATTGTTTCAATGTTTTAATGTTTTAGTGTGATTTAGAGATATGATGTTTAAATGACGGTCTGTAATATTGATGTTGGAAACCGGCCCGAGTCCCTCGAATGGAGGTGAGAAGACCGGTGTACAAAACTACCAAATAAATAAATAAATAGCAAACTCAATTTGCTTACAACAGAAAAAAAGAAAACATGTAGCTCTCCATATATTTTTGGACTGCAGCATCCACTCACCACTGAGTATGCTGGTTGGAACAGCAACATTCAAAAAGTCCTTAAGTAACTCACTCCTAACTTGCAAGGGCCAGACCTCCCCCTGTTTTCCAGTGTGAACCTGCTCACAAGAACAAAGCACAGCTGGCAGGTCTTTATTTTGTCAAATAATGCTTGGTACAGGAAGGGCTTCCTTGTTCCTTATGAGTGGCATTGTTAAATTTGGATTAATCCCCTCTCCAATTGGTTTTAAGTTCTAAGAGTGAGAAATGAACATTTACAGGCAATTAGGTTCCCAAGCCAGCAGGAAAATTGCCTCTACGGCTGGAGGCCCATGCAAGCTCTACAGCTGCCGAGATTGTTTCTTGTTTTGGAAGCAAACAAAGAAACCTCCACAGAAATCAGGCCTCCCTTTAGTTCAACAGCTGCAAAACATCCACAATAAATATTCTCCAGCCCCTTTCTTCCTGGAAACCAAAGAGAAATACTTCAGCGTAGTTGAAAGTAGAGCTATGGAAGGCTTCACTCTGCAGGCTAAGAGGCCCTCAAGACTGTCTCCCGCTGCACGTTAACTGATTGCCATTGCAGGGAGAAATGGCTGCAAAAGGGGGAATCTCAACTACTTTCTATAGAGCATGTCAAAAAGAAGGAAAAGAAAAAAGATCTTCCTTCCAAAGTGTGAAGTCCAAGCTTAACGTCGTTTATATGGAAGCAAAGGAGGCACTCCTATCTTTAGGTCCCGAAAAGGTTATTCCAACATGGAATCCAACTTCTAGGTTGAATGAACGGTACCTGTTTGCCATGCAAAATAAACCAAGGCTAGAGGAACCAGTGAGCTGCTGAAAGATATGACTGGAAGTTGCCAGAGTAGCAGTTGCATAGCATATAGAAGCAAAAAACAGGCAGGCAGCCATTTTTAAGGATAAGAGGAGGAAGAAAGAGATGGGGAGGAGAGAGAGCGTTGTTAACCCACACATGGTTAAGAGCATTAGAACTTATTTTGTCAGTGTCACTTAGGTTAACAAATATACTTGAACTGTTGTACTTGTTGGGAAAATCTCATTCAAATGCAGGGGATGGGAATAGGAAATATTGACCTGACCAGGGCTATGTATACAGAGCAACCGGCTACAGCCAAGGCCATTTATTATTTAGTGTTAAGTCTTCTCTTCTATCAAAAAAACCCAAACCAATGAGAAACAAGCAAAATAGCTCACTGGCATCTTTATATATTATTGTTGCTGATTCAATCTGCTTAATCAGACTTACCACTCCTCCCCTGTTCCTGACATTTCAGGCTCTCGAGATGCACTCAAGCAGGCACTATGCCAAAAATACACATACTAAAGAGACAGAGATATAACTGACATGATAAAGCATAATGATGGGGTGTCGAGTCCCATTACTCTCAATTATGTCACTCTATCGAGTAATGTTAATCACAGCAAATAGCAGAGGGAAGAACTCTGAAAGCCATCATGATCATTCCGCTCCTTTCAAATTTTTATCTAGGATCAGCTTGTTTTTTTATATATATCAGAGTTGGCAGGGCAAACATTTTTGTTGGTGTATATATAAAAAAACAAACAAAAAGGTGATGGGGAAAAGTTTGAAGCTTGAGAAAAAGTTCTTTGAGCAAACAACGCCATGGTTAAAACAATCACAGTGAATCCAGGGCAGGAGGACTGTCACTTAGTTCCAGTGCTCCAGATCTATCGTCTGAGGTGTTACTTAAGTCTGGAACCACAAGAGTGGTTTTTTCATCATTGTCAATGCCTCCTGTGTTATCATTTTCATCCTTTTTGTCACCAACGTTTTCAGCGTCAGTTTCCGAGTCTTCTGCCTCTTCTGCCCCAGGTTGGTTCTCATTTGGATGTTCATTCTCCAAGTTGGATGGTTCCATGGAATCGTAGGAAGGAGGACTGGAAGAAGGGGATTCACCTTCAGAGAAGCTGCTGAGCTCTGGCTGACCTGCTGTCTGGCTCTCTGTCAGACACTCTGCTCTGCTCCCTTCCTGTTCTGCAGCAGCCTGTTCTACTGTTAACTCAATGATTTCATTCCCAAACCCATTTACATCATCGTCTTCTGAAGAAAACTGCGGTAACGGTGGGTGAAAATGATTGTCTTTGTTACTGCTGTTTGGGTTTGTTTGGGAATCCTCAGAAACTGCAACTGCCTCCTCTAGAAATGTTGGTTTTGTTTTAGCAGTACAGAAGTCCTCCTGTTCTCTCGTGTGATGGCCTAGAAGGAAAAAACAGGGAAGCGTCAGGTTGCTTTGTCCAGAAGCTACAGTTTCATCTTCCTACACATACATAAAACAGTTGGAAATGATCTTCTGGCATATGCTGAGGAAGAACATTCTTTTCAGAAATGCCCAACTGAGGACCACCTGAAGGAAGCCAAAGAGGGTTTTATCTCAGTGGCATCACTGGGAGAGAATGGTCCAAACCAGATGATACCGCCAAAGGGGGCGACAACAAGCATGAGGGTTTGGAGAGAGGGGAGCAAGGAGAGGAGAGCAATACACATGCTTGTACACAATCTCAGGATGAAAGACGGGCGAGGGGGTATGGATATTTGGAGATTCTACTATTTTAGCTACAATATTCAAATGTAGTCTAGTATGGGAGGAGTTCCATAGGGTTGACACTATGAGTTACAGCACTGGGTGACATCAGGCCTAGTGATACCACTGCTTTATCCACAAGGAGCAAAAATATATGCAGAACTCATGTCTTCTGATAAGACACAGGAGTTCAATAAAATGTGACTTATTCATGCTTTCTTTCATATTGCTCCTTTTGAAAATTCAGTGACTCAGAGTAATTCAGGTTAGAGTTTTCTGTTCTGCTCTAGGAATTGGTCCAAATACAGTAGAATCTCACTTATCCAACCTTCACTTATCCAATGTTCTGGATTATCCACAGTTCAGGGTGGGAGGAAGAAAGAATCCTTGTCTGTTTTGGTGCTAAATTCATAAATACAGTAATTACTACATAATGTTACCCTGTATTGAATTGCTTTTTCTGTTGATTTGTTGTAAAACATGATGTTTTGGTGCTGAATTTGTAAAATCATAACATAATCATAATGTAATTTGATGTTTAATAGACTTTTCCTTGATCCCTCCTAATTTATAATGATTGTTGGTTTTACTGATGGGTCTATGGACCGTAAAAAAAAATGTTGTTGTTGTAATCCCTCCTTATTATCTAACATTTTCGCTTATCCAATGTTCTGCCGGACCGTTAATGTTGGATAAGTGAGACTCTACTGTATATAGTTTATTATGCCTAAAACATATGGCACAACATATGTTGTGCCTATACACTTGTGAGTGCTTCCTTCTGAGAGTACATTGCCTGACATGCAATTAGAAAATATAGTACGAGTTTCTGAGATCAAATACAATGGACAACTGCTGTTTCTCAAGTTCTTTGGGACTTTAAATTGTGACATGGAAGGAGAGGAGGAAGAATGAAGAGAGAGAGGTTGGACACATTAATTTCAGTCAATTGCCATTTATTAGGCCAATGCCATTACATCTGATACCTGACACATATTCAAACTGGGCCTTTTCCATTCAGTCTGCTTAAGTGCAACTTTCATGTTACTGCCAATGACACAGAAGCATATTCAAAAATACTCCAAGGACCATATGTGCGGGGACATATGAGTTTGTTAATCACCACAAAAAGAAATGTGACAAGTGTAGCTTGTCCTTGCCAACGCAGCTCTTGGACCCAAACATTATCCGAGCAGCATGGAATGAAGCAGCAAGATAGGGGCTCTTGAAACACTGGAAATGTAAAAACTGACCCTTAAACTGAGTGTGTAGGATGAAGCCTGGGAACAAAAGCTAAGCTCAGTTTGACTCACTTGAATCCACATGACACTATTTTAAAATAACACCAAGGCTGGAGGCAGCCTGAAGCCACAGCTAAGATGCTCAACCCCCATGGGTATTAATTAGTATGACAGTCATTAACTATTATTTCTCTATTATTTGGGGGCATATGAAACTGGAGGAAAAGCAAGGAAAATATAAAATAAAAATAGAGGGTCAGAAAGATGCCAAAAAATTAAGGAAAAAGAAGTTTTTATTTCCCACCAGAAACACTAAGTGCAATACATTAATATTTCATGTACATTTAATACATACTATGTGAAGAACAGAAAAATGAGACAAGTATACATTTTGGATATTCACTCTTTATATGAAGGGCTTTGTTTCTGCGACTGCTTCCTGTTAATTTCTCATGAGGAGATAAGTCCAAGTGATGTTTCAGTCATTAAGAAGGACCATAGGGTACTACATAATAACACAGGAGCAAATCTGCATCTTTCACTCCTGCTCCATGTTGACCATTTGGAAGTGGAAAGCTAAGAAATCAGAGAACAAGTATGGGGGCCATTTACACAGCCCTGCAATGCAGTTTATCTGCATTGAACTGCATTATATGAATGTACATTGACCATATAATGAAGTTTCAAACTGTATTATATGGCAGTGTAGATGGGGCCAGTGTTTCATACATGGGAAGAGTCAACTTCATTGGAGCCAGATAGGTCTGTGCTACATACATCCAATGACAAACGTGCCATATGCTTTTACATTAAACTTTGAGTTGGCATACACTTCTCTATCCGCTTAGCACAGTGGTTCTCAACCTGTGAGTCCCCAGATGTTTTGGCCTACAACTCGCAGAAATCTCAGCCAGTTTATCAGCTCTTGAGATTTCTGGGAGTTGAAGACCAAAACATCTGGGGACTCACAGGTTGAGAACCACTGCCTTTGTAAGTCCTGACAATTGAAGTTGCTGAGAGTCTCAGGCCCCTTCCACATAGCTGATTAAAATCCCACTTTTTCTGCTTTGAACTGGGATATATGGCAGTGTGGACTCAGATAATCCAGTTCAAAGCAGATATTGTGGGATTTTCTGTCTTGATATTCTGGGTTATATGGCTGTGTGGAAGGGCCCTCAGAAAGCTGATTCCTGCAAGAAACACCTTTTGTGGACCCTTGTAGCATAGGAGTCACAGAAAAGGGAGCATCTCTGAACACCAGTGTATACATAAACTGGATCCATTTCACACTCCTTCTGCTGCACAGCTTTGTAATAACCAACTATTGTATCCCATTTTAAGATCTTAGTTAGATTCATTGATTTTTTTAAATTCTTTTAATTGTAATTAGATCAGGTTTTATCTTAAGGTGTTAGTCACTGGTATTGAACCCAGTTTACCTGTCCGAATGGGTCTCCCCCTACGAACCATCAAGAATTTTAAGATCATCTGGGGAGGCCCTGCTCTCAGTCCCACCACTATCGTAGTCTCGTTTGATGGGGACAAGAGATAGGGCCTTCTCCGTGGTAGCCCCTCAGCTGTGGAACTCCCTCTCTAAGGAGGTTAGATCGGCCCCCTCCTTCTTGACCTTCCAAAAGAAGCTTAAACCCTGGCTGTGGGAGCAAGCCTTTGCAGATTAGACTGTTTTTATTGGCAATGATGAGATTTTACTGGACCGTAAGTTGGATGGATTTGGATGATTTTTTAACCTGGTGAACGGTTTTAATTTATATTTATATTTATATTGCTTTTTACATATGGATTGTAATTTATTATGTGCTTTATTGTTTTGGCATCGAGATATGCCTGTTGTTAGCTGCCCTGAGTCCCTCTCTGGAGGTCAAGAAGAGTCAGGATACAAATGTTCCAAATAAATAATACAACTTTCTACTATACCCATAAGTCTATTTCCCCTATTTATAGGTCTTCTACTGCTTTCATTTACCCATTATACCTCCCTTGCCACCCAGCTACTGTATTGCATATTTGAGTTCTAGATTCAGAATAGCTTGTGTAAACTAAACAGCATTATGCAAAATAATATTTTCATATGTTAAAAGGCTGATTTTCTAATTGTCTTACAAAAAAGTTGTGATATACCAGTATATTGAAAGGCTAGATTGTAGTTTATTCAAACACATCACAAAACACAGTGGACTTTCAGAACAGATACAGGATTGGCAGTAAGGCACCTTATCCTACCACTAAGGTGTGGAGAAAGGAGCTTGCCTACTTGTTAATTTGGTGGCATAATCAAGCCCAGAGCCTGCTAGATAATTGAGGTTACCCTGCTTGCAATATTTTATGACAGTATGGTTAATAGACCTCTTCAAATTAAGCTTATTTTTGTATCAGGGAAGAAAAGAAAATCAGCTGGCCAAGTTCATGGAACCAAATCAACCCTGCAGTCAGATTTTATCTGACACTGTGATAGATTTTTTTTTAAAAAATAATCAAAGAAAACTCATGTTCTAATTACTATGAAGAACTGGTAGAAACTGTAGGCTATGTATCAGAGCTGTCTGAGTAAGAACTACAAAGGAAACTCAAATTTGTATTCACTTTCAAGTGTAATACCTACTGCTGGAGGGTGCCTTATTTAAAAGGCCAAGTGTCCAGTACCAAAAAAAGGAATAATCTGTGAGTTATGTAACAGAAAGTCTCCTCTATCCTAATCCAATCAAGCTGATCAAGTTGTAATCTCTGCTCTTTAGAGTTGGTTTTTTGCGCTGTCTGTCTTGGGGTCAAGTGCAATCACCTGAAACAGCTGTACATAGCCAAACTTGCACTGGCAGGGTTTTATAACTGTAATATTTCTTTGGAATTTTTTTTGGGTGGGGGGGGGGAATGTCAGGTGTTTGTGGTAGATTTGGGGAGGGAGGAACTCAAGGGCCATTCATAATTCTCCCCAAGGGGCCACATGAGGCCCACAGACCACATGATTCCAACCGCTGATGTAAATAAAGAGTAAGTTCATGGAAGAGGAAGAGCAATACAGGGCTTTGTATTCCATACTCATAAACAATGGTGGATTCTGCGTTCATATGCTTTCCCTCTTTCAATAAATCTAAATTCCCATGTATCTTCTGCATAATGCTATAGATTACACAAGACTGCCTTGTGCAAGAGAACTGGGAAAAGAAAAGGGCAAGCATTGGCATATACATGTTCCCAGATGGGTTCATTCTTTTCCTCTATCTCCTTGTGGTTTGAGAAACCAAAATATTATTTGTGTAGGGGAAATTTCTAAATAAATAAATAAATAAATAGTTATTGCATTTTTGAGTTTTAGCATCCTGTTTTCTAACCTGTTCTCCTCTAGCACAGCAGGTTAACCACCAAGCTGCAGTAAATCTTGCCAGCCAAAAGTTCAAAGCCCAGGTCAGAGTGAGTGCCTGACCATTCAGCCCAGCTTGCTGCCTACCACGCAGATTGAAAACAGCAATGCAAGTAGATAAATAGGTACTGCATTAAAAGCAGAGAGGTATTAAGGCACCCAGGAAATGCCAGTGATAAAAAGGAAGAAGTTGACAAGCTCAACAGGGAAGATGGAGTGACCCCCCCCCCCCCCCGCCCAACCAGAACCTAGTACAGCCTCCAAGAAGCCGAAGTTGGGAAAGTCTATATGCCTCTATCTGTCTGTCCTGTCATTGGATAATCGACATTTAATGTTTGCCATATATATGTTCTGTGATCCGCTCTGACTCTCCTTCGGGGTAAGAAGGATAGAATATAAATACTGTAAATAAATAAATAAAGACACACCTACACACATGTACCTCTGTGCAAAAACCTTTCCAAATGAACCATTTCTTTCATGGCTTTAGTGGAATTTTAAAAAGAATATTTATTAATAATGTGACTATTGGAATGGCCCAGACTATAACTTTGGATAATGTGGTTAACCAAATTGAGTTGAAATAAAGCTAGATAGTAGCCCACAAAGGCACCTGTGACCAGGATGGCCCTTTAAAGAAAAGAAACAGACTGTGTACTTTTTTTTATCATGCTGAGAAATGACAGCTATATGGTCTGATCCAGAAGAACATGGCTATCTACTGTCACCTGTTAAAATTAGTTGGCACTGAATTGTACAGCCTGCTGACGTCAAAAAAGATTATCAGGATTCCATTTTCCCTCTGCAAAGACCCTCTTAGGAAAGACAAAAATCTCTGGAAAACAGTAGCACACTCCAGCACTTCAATTTTGCTCTCTCAATTATAAATTGGGGAAGATATTTCCACATGGATCCTTAGGACATGAAGACCCTCTTTCCATAATAAGCTACTTAGCATAAAGCCAGGCATAAAACCACTGACTCTCTTACTGGCAATTACACAGCACCAGAATAATTAAGGTGGAGAGGTCAAGTACTGTTCACTATTATAAAGTGCCAACATTTTAATCTTTGTAAAATCAAAACACCTTTTTTCTTCAAAAATTGTTAATAGGTAGTGCATTGAGAGCCAGGGTGTTATAATGGCTGCAGTGTTGGATTAGGACCCTGGAGACCAGAGTTTAAATCCCTTCTCAGTCATGGAAACCCATTGAAAAGTCGCATTCAGAGGAAGGCAAAGACAAATATCCTCAGAACAAATCTTGCCAAGATAATCCTGTGATAGGTTCCCCTTAGGATTTACCACACATGTTTGCATGCAATATGTAGTATGTTAATTCCAAACCTGGATGGTGGATAAATAAACATAATAAACATAAGGAGGAGGAGGAGGAGGAGCAGCAGCAGCAGCAGCAGCATACATGAGATATCTCCAAGGAGGAGGGTGTTTCCCAAACACAAGATGTGGACATTTGGAAGAAGTGACATAAAGATTTTGAAGAACCAGTGATCATTCTATGAGTCTGGAACTTCAACTTCTATTTGAAGTTCTCTCCATTATAAGTGAGGGTGAGAAATAGGAACAAGAGCAACAGTGTTAGTCCTCAGAGAACGGGCCTTGGTGGCCTTGCAAGTTGGTTGAGTGGCCAAACCCAAAGAATTTTCACCAGTGGCTCTTCTTCATCCTGAAGAGAAGTGATTAGTGAGTTGCCACAGGGTTCTCTCCTAGACCCAGTCGTATACATTATTGAATAGAGAGCATGCACTTTGCAAATAATAGCAATTTATGAAGAGTAGCAAATAACTTGGAGGACAGGATCAGCATTCAAAATGATCTTAAAACTAAGAGGTAACATGCAACTGATGTTTGAATATTTGAAAGGATGTCATATGGAAGATGAAGCAAGTTTGTTTTTTGCCGCTTTAGAAATTGGGAATGGAACAATAGATTCAAATTACAGGAAAACACATTTCAGCTAAACATTAGGAAGAACTTCCTGATAGTAACAGCTGTTTAACAGTGTAATGGGCTGCTTCAGAGTGTGAGGGAGTTTCCTTCTCCAGAAGTTTTACAACAGAGTCTTGATGGCTATAGGTTGGACTGGATGGTCCTTGTGGTCCTTTCTAACTTTATGATTCTACTCTTTTTTTCCTAAAATCTACTTAAACATTCAGAAATTGTGGAAGGATGTACTCACTTAAAAACATCTTCCACACATTCTTCCATGCTGTGTTCACTCTATGACTCCATGTGCTTACCTTCTCTCTTCTGTTGAGACTTTTCAGTAACAGTTAGCAATGGTGATTGAGACCTCTGGAGAATGGGAAGGGTGGGGTCACTGAATGTGATGGTATCTTTGCCACCTGCAAATTAAAGGACACAGAAACTTAGCAAAACAAAAGACATGCTTGTTTAATGTTTTAGTTTAAATAAAATACTGCACTAGTTTTTCTAATATTAAATCAAAAGACTTCAAACTTCTATTGATTCTGTTCTACACAAAGAAAAGGTTATGTTACAATCCCAAACATGAACTAAAAGATATTCATGAAAAGACACTTTTGCATTTGACAAGAGGGGAAAATGCACATATAGTGAACGTTTAGATACAATCCAGTCATATCAGAAATAATTTTAATATTTATAGACTCTATCTTAGGTCTGAAAGCTAATGCAGATTTAAAAAAATAGATTTCACGGACATACAATGATATTCAAAATTGACTTTTTATTGTCTCAGTTTTGCCCTTGTAACTGAACTTTGTTCAATAAGACCACATTGGGGAGGTGTTTCCCCCATCTCTCCAGTAGGAATTGTACCCAAATCATAGAAAGGGGGAACAGGTATCCAATCATTTTATGAGTAAAAGGAATGAAGTTGGGGAACACATTTAATATCCCAGTTCTTCTACCTAAAGTTCTGTATTCCAATTTTGTTTCTAAAGCAATTCTCATATATTTACCTCAAAATATTTTAAAGATGGTTGTAAGAGATGTTTCCTAAATATCTGTAGGGTAATGTTTCATTTGACAGAGCAGACTTTATAAAAACACTCGCTCCACCCACCTCTGAAAGGTAGATCTGTAGTATAAAATTTTAATGTCAAAGATACTTATGAGGCTATTTTGCAAAACAGTGAGCATAACCTGCTCTGTCAGAAGAGTCCTTGCTTTCACAGAACATTAGAAAAAATATAAACTTTTATAAGGGCAATGTGTTGTCGAAGGCTTTTTTATAAGGGCATCTGGACTGGAAAAGGTCTACTGCAGGAGCTACTTTCAGACAAGCATTTGAGACATGAGATTCTTGCTTTATCAGGAATTACAAAAACCACTCTGGAAGACTATAGATGTCTGAGAACTGCAAGCTGGAGAGGCAAACAAATGCTGCTGGTGCAGTGCATAAGGATATGGATATAAGCTATGGAATGCAGATACAAATCTTGCATTGACTATGAAGGCAGGCAAACAATCCCTCTCAACCTATATTCTCTTTCAGGAGTCCCCGGTGGTACAGTGGGTTAAACCCATGTGCCGACATGACTGAAAACCGACAGGTTGCAGGTTCATATCTGGGGAGAGAGCGGATGAGCTCCCTCTATCAGCTCCAGCTCCCCATGCAGGGACATGAGAGAAGCCTCCCACAAGGATGGTAAAACATCAAAACATCTGGGCATCCCCTGGGCAACGTCCTTGCAGACAGCCAATTTTCTCACGCCAGAAGCAACTTGCAGTTTCTCAAGTCACTCCTGTCATGACAAAAAAACCCCTATATTCTCTCATAAGTCATAGTAAGAATAGAGATACTGGATTATTTGATATAACGAGGGTCCAGAAAAGTAGTCTAAAAAAATCAAGTATTACTACATTACTGCTGCAACCCATTTCTTCAGAACTCCAGTTAGTGAGAAATACCTGCATACCTCCTTTGTTCCTCTTTTTTGTGGGATATTTCTTTAGGGTTTTTTTTTTTACAAACCCTTCAAGTTAAAAACATGCACACTGAGAATCTCTCTACAATAATCACCACCACAAATACAAAGACCCATTGATATTTAAATGGTACCTATAATTAGTAATGCATACAACCCTACGTGTCTACACTTCCTGCCTCTAGCTTGAAACATCCTAAATGAGCCATTTATTCAGTTCATATTGACATTTGTCCTCTGAGAATCAGCTCCCCGGCTCATTTCAAAAGGAAAAAAACAAACAAACAAAAACCCTCATCATGAGTCACTTCTGAAAACACAGCCATAAGCCTTCTAGTAGAGAAACAATTATGTCTCTATAGAGTGTTTATCAAAATGGCCCTGTAGGCACTCGCATAGGAGACGTCAAGAATGCTGATGCTAATGGATTTCTGGAAATGTCAATATTAAAATTGAAGCCTATTCTTGCCCCAGATCTAATAACTCCTTCTATTTGCAGCTATCAACATAATCAGATTAGGACTGTAAGAGAGGAGATTCCATGGACATTTCATAAAATGAAGACATTACAGACCTGCCCCAAACCTGTATTCATTGACTGAGAGAAATTTCCCTTGACATGGGGAAAATCAGTAAGAAATGAAGGATGGGGGCGAGGAATGGCATTTTCTTTAAAAACAGGAACAATAAGCAGAGGGAAATTTGATTTTGGCAACTTATGGACATAATATTGGAGAGTGGTACCTGGTCAAAGTCGTCCCTGTTCAAGTGGTCCCTGGTCACAAAAGGGTTGGGAACCACTGGTGTTACACCATTATGGACATAGTAGCAAAAGGGTTATAAATCAGTTTTTGGTCAACTTTAAATTCTGTTTGGTTATTTGGGGTGCTGATTCAGAAAAATGCATTGGATAGGCCACAATTAGCTCTAGTTTCTGATACAGAACATATGCCACCCAGTAGTCGCCATCTGCTAACCCACAGCAAACCATATTTAATAATCTAGAGCCGATGTAGTTTGCTGTTGTTGTTTATTCGTTCAGTCACTTCCGAATCTTCGAGACCTCATGGACCAGCCCACACCAGAACTCCCTCTTGGCTGTGGCCACCACCACATGTAGTAGTAGTAAACTTTTGAGAGTAGTCAGCCTTTCCCCTCCTGACATCCACATTGCCTCAGCACTATAAGAGGGTTTTGAGAGACCAGTTGCTCTCGTTGCAGCATGGTTTCGAGGCAACGGTGTATTAATGGTAGGGCTGCAGACCATATTTTTGTCCTTGTGGACCACAGGTGGGGAACCACAGTATTACACTGAAACTCATGGGATGTACTCTAGTGATGAAAAGCTAGTTCTCCAGATGCTGCTTGACTCCAACACCTTTCATTCTTCTCCATTACTACAAACAATTACACCATGTAACACATTTTTTGTTCCTGGGTTATAAATCTCATTTCCTAATTGATTCTATCATAAAAACATGGAAAAAGTTTATTAAACTGCAAAATTTTTGTTTTTACAAGACAACCTGCAGCACATTTTCCTATAGTTTGTCAATGAATATCTCGAGTCTCAACCAATTCAACATTGTTTGTGGCAGTCAATACATTTCTGGAGTATTAATAACTGCTTTTAAGTAAGTGCTGCACAAATTAAACAGAAAACAACACTTTCAAACCAGGAACAGATTTTTTTCCCCCAAATTTTGTTACAAAGTTCTCTGCTCTTGCAATTAAGCCCTGAGATTGGAGCACAATCACAAATTTTAGAAACAAATGTTAGAAATCATACACTGGGCAGAGGGATATTGCTGGCACTGAGGCCAGAGAAGCATTCAGCGGGGAAAAGGTTACACATCCTCTTTCATAAACTGCTTCTCTGTTCCAAAGGCCTCCCCTTCTTTCTTCTTTGAGGAAAAACAAATCTTGTTTCTGTTACAAGTATTTTCAGGTAATGCTAGTATGGCGTTTCTTAATATCCCAGATATGGAAGACCTCTCACAATGAGCCAGGGACCAGCACTACATTTATGTCCATTGGCTATTGCTACTACTACTACTACTACTACTACTACTACTACTACTATTTGATACACAATAAGATTAGTACACCACAAACAAGATTACTATGCTAGGTTTTGTATTGGATCACAAGTCAGACAAGTCAGGCTAATAATAATAATAATAATAATAATAATAATAATAATAATAATAATAATGTATATCCCATTTTTTCTCTCCAGAAGGAGACTCACAGCGGCTAATATTAAAAGCATTACAATACAATTTAAAATATACAAATATGCAAATATTTACATCGTATTAAGCATCATTAATATTAAAAACAATTCAGATTAAATCCATACACTCCATACACTCCTTCTTTCCTAAAAACTCTCAAACTCTCAGCATGAAATGGTTCAGGAAACAGTACTGGTTCAAAAACCATTTTGAGTAGCAGTACTCTAGTATTATTTCAATACATCTAAGGTGAGTTCAAAAGTATGATAGCGGAAGATCCTCTCCCACAATGCCTTATGTCTCCACTCCTTCACTTCTGTTTACTCATTGCAGTGTGAAGTATGAAAGCCGGCATAGTGGAGATGTTTCCTGCCATGCTATGTTACTGACAGAAACCCATCCTGTAACTGTTCTGGGTTAGTGTTTCCCCTTCCTGAAAGTGGACAATAGGCAACTGTGGATGGTCTTTTGCCAAGGATATATTGCTCTGGCATCTAAAGACTAGTTTGTTCACCCACTTTCCATGAACCTGGAAAAGTTCCCCTTTTATACTTATCATTGTTAGGTACTGTCAAGTTGGATTTGCCTTAAGATGACCCTTTGAATGAGAACCTACAACAGCCTTCCCCCTCTATTTTCTTTGCTGTGGAGCCACCTCTGGCCTTTTTGAATGCCTGAGTGGGAGTATGACGGAAACAGCCATTGGCCACCTAAGGCAGCACAGTCCACAGAATGACCCTTGACTTATCCACAAATCATATCTAAATCCATAATTTAGTCTTTCAAACCTGCCCTTGACTTATCCTTGAGGTCAACTTATACATAATTAAGATGGAAGCTGAAAGGCATAAAAATGAAAGAGCATTCATGAGCATTTGAAAACAAAAACTAAAAACATTTAATCACCTCTCTCCAAATAACTGGATATAAAGACTTTACTTATTTCGATTGACATACTTGTTCAGCATGCGTCATGCTCAAAACATCAGAGTTAATGCTTGGAATGTCTGCTTGCTGACATTTGTGTTGTGCTTTAAGTGATATTTTAACAGCACAATTTGTTTTAATTTTCGCATCTTGCATTTGCTGTAAAACACTACATTTTTTGCCAAAAGAATGCTGTGAAAGTGGCCTTTACCGGGTACACCTTGACTGGAAATGTCAAGGCTTAAATCTGGGACCTCTGTGGGCAAAGTTAATTCTTTACCACTCAGTCATGGGCTCCATAGGACTGGCATTGCTATGAGAAACCTTCTCCAACTTACTGAAGATATGGAGGTAGCAGCAACAGTGAATTAGCCACACCAATATTGCTGGCAATCTTCTTGTGGCAAAGGAAGAATGTTCCAACAGCTCTAAGATTAGTTCTACAGTAGAAACTACTGAACTATTTAAGGTTTGTGATAGTCTCCATTTCCCACGAATGCTTGAATTTGGCATACATTCTTGAATACAATCCATGATGCTAGAATTTGGAAGGCATAAGCCAGTAATAGGAGGTACTCTTCAACTAAAACATAAATAGCTCCCTGGGGTGCTGTCTATTCTCATATTTAGCAAGTTGAAGGGGAGAAATTATCTTGACTTTTTGCATATATATATTTTAAAATAATAAAGTCACAAAATACATTGTCCTGTAGAACTTGCAGCTCTTATTTCCAGAATTATTTCACAGCCTTCCTTATTACCATTTCCCCGAATTAAAAATAATTTTACACATTAATCTTTATTTCTCTTGTGGCCATCTAACTGACTCAGCTGAACATCTTAATCTGACAGACACAGGGAGGAAAAACACACATATTCAGATAACATTTCCATTTATTTACATGCAGTGACAATACTTAATACACCGCTAAGATTAGTTACTAAAAATACATATGTCAAGCAGAACCTACTCCCAAATCCCACTGAGACATTGTAGCTCAGGCCTTCAGGCAGCAGGAGGAAAAAAAAAGAAGGAAAGAAAACAGTTATTATATAAATATTAGTTTGACGTATTAAACAGAAACAATAGAGCAAGATATTCTGAGATCAATGCTTGTCTTACCATGTCTGTTTTAAAAGGCCAAAACACTTTACTGAGTGGATTATAAACTCCTTAGGAGAGAAAACCTGACCAAGAGAGCAAACATCAACATGGATAGGCTCAGTTTAAGAACTGGCAACATCTAAAGACCAAACCATGTTCTGAAAGGGGTTGCCAGTTATGCTTTGCATTCACCACTATGTAACATGTGTCAAATACATGCTTCCTGACAAACATATTTCCTGGAATAGGACTTAATTCAAACTGTGTTAAACCATTTTGGATCTTGACTAAGGTTAAGTTACCAAAAAAAAAAAAACCCAAAAAACAAAACCCCGATATCTATTTGGTAGTTATCAACAGCTGGATTCTGGTGTCTAGGATGAGCTGGTGAAAGGCAAGTAAAGCAAGGTTAAGCTTTCGCTGCAGCATTCAGAAGAGCATAACATAGGTGCATAACCAAAAATCAAGTAGAGGTTGAAACTAGACTTTAGACGGCATTGTAACATGAAGGCGGAGGAAGTTCTGAGATTAGACCTTCATAAATGTCAGCTAGCTGAGGAATCAAGTAAGCTAGGACTACTACCTAGATTCACTTCTGTGCATCACAAATATACATGCAGATCAACACAAGCAACCACTGTTGCTGCTTCTAGTGCCCCAAGGAAATGCACCTGCCCAAGTCTTGGGTTAGAAATTCCAGAATTCCTGACAGGTAATGGGTAATGATATAAGCCATTTCCCCCACGAAGAAGGTTCCAGGGCATCTGTCCACAATGATTCCATTTGCCATTTGAGCTTCTGAGTCCACAAAAAGGTTAGATGCTCCACTAGATTCTGAGAATGCCAACCACTGTCTCTGCTGTATACTGCAATCTTAGTCAGGGAGAAGGAAAAGGGACAGTCAGTGGCAGTTCAGTAAGTGAGGTGGTTGTTTATCTGATTTCACCCTCAACCATTTGAGGAGTGGTATTCAGACTAATTGGCATCCTCAAAGCACAGAGTAAACTCTTTTGCAGAGAGCAAAGTGTCTGGGGCAACTGCACCAAAACTGTAGTTCAAAATTGACTTGTAATTTGCTCATATTGAGAAGACTATGGGTGAAATGTATGGTATAGAAATATGGTGTTGGTATACAATGGAATTATCTGGAAGTTACATAAATGATGCTCAAATGCACCAAAGGAGGATGATTTCTTTTATAATCTGCTATTTGGAATTAATTGTTGCTCCGCTGGAGTAGAATAACAGAAAAGATGGCACAGCTGTGCTTGAAATGCATGAAATGAAAAGTGAAGGACCACCACGAAGAGCTGGAAAACGCACTCAAAACAGAACCTGGGACAGAACCTGGATTGTACATTTCCTGGTTTGTTAATTTGTGTCTGCAGTGATCACTAACTCTGGATTAATGGTGCCTTTTGCAACATATCTCCTATGACCATAGAAACCCAACTGTTCCTCATTCCCCCATCTTATTCTGTGAGCTTATTACATAGTAGCTGGGAAGATGTCTGACAGTTCAGGTTTCCATAATTCCATAAGTGAGATTATATCAACTACTCCAAGGATCTGGAAGAAGTTTGAAATGCTAGGCAACTGTGTTACATCAGATTGATCTAGTCCAAGATTCTGTTATAAGCAGATGCTTATTGAAAGGCCACCAATGGGGCATGAATACCAAATTATACTCTTTCTATTCCATAGCAACCAATGCTAAGAGCCAGTACTGCTTCTGTATTGAAAGCAATACAAAAATATCATGACACGCATAATTTTAAAAATCCTGTTCTTCATGAAAGGATGCCAGAAGGTGTTTGTGCCCTAATAAGATGCCTAAAACCATTCCTACCATGAGGTTCAAAGTCTCTTGAGAACAGCAGCAATGTCCTGCAATTCCTTCCATCCTTCCTTCCATCCTTCCTTTTTCTTTCTTGCAAACTATAGTCCAATCATGGGGAGCATGACAGTATCCATTTTAGCCTTACTTTTGTTTTAAACATCATTCCCTGAAGAAAAGAGACTGTAGTTCAAAATGGATAGCTATTAGTTTAGTTAGATCCATATTTCTGAGGGCTTATCTACATAATCATTTTTGGATTCATGAAAGCAAGTGGCAGAAGAGATTTATGGATGTCAAAGCTTCTGAATAGCTCCAGGACAAAACAAAGGAATGGTGCTTTTGATATTAAATGTTATAAAGCCAAAGCAAAACATTTGGAGGTTATAAAAAAAGAATGAGCAGTTTACCAAAAATATTTCCTATAACTATATTTTTTAGTTTCAATTGAAAGATCAACACTTTTCATGTAGATCTTTTATAAATATTATTGTATTTGAACTGTATATTCTGTTCTACCAACAGGAGCATTCGAACAGATGCAACCAACAGGCAATCACAGCAAGACTCCTGATCCTGAAACTACACAAGAGCTGCACAAACAAATATTTATACCATGTAATGGTCATCACTGTCTAATATTAACCACAGGAAAGATTGTGAAACCAAGAGGACAACTGTTGTCCAACAGGTTGGGATCACAATGGGACTAACCAAAAACAAAGTGTCATCAAACTAGCTTCTTTTGTCCTCAATGACATTCACACATAAAATTATGGTATTATCATGCTTACCACAAGACTCCTGATTGGTTGGGATCATCTTATAAAAAGTTGTTTTAAAATATACCAAAGCAAAAATGGATGGCAAAAATACTTATGAAGATCCCCCAAAAAGACGAATAACAACACTTATAGAGAGGCAACATTGTTTTTGTACTGAAAATCAAAACTAGCAATTATTCAGTAGTGTAAGTGATGGAAATCTTCTTATATCTGGTTATGTTGCCCAACAGATTCTACTTCTGACTATTTAATACACTGTCTGATGTATTAATGACAGCTTTAAAGATCAGACCCTTTTGGCAAGTTTATTCAGATTATTTTAAATTATGATCTTTAATTATGGGTTTTAATTTGTGTACTGGTTGTTTTAATATGTATTGATTGTATATTTTTAATTTATGTTTTAACTGGTTTAGCTGCTACATGTTTTTAACTCATGCTATGTTCTGTATTTTTAATATGTTGCTGTTCCCTGCCTTAATCCAGGTTATCTGAAGGACCACATCCCTTTCTATGAATATGTCAGACATCTACGATCGACTAGGCAGGGCCTTCTCTATGTCCCACCATCTAATCAAGTGTATTTGGTGGGAATATGGGAGAGGGCCTTTTCAGTGGCTGCTCCCAGACTTTGGAACTCCCTCCCAAGAGAGACCAGGATGGCCCTATCCCTGCTGTCCTTCTGCAAGCATGTTAAGAGATTTCTGTGTCATCAGGCATACGGGGGAAGGATGAGGGGCACACTGCTGTGAAGGTTGTGGATAGGATTCTGGTGAGGATTATGAGTTTTAAACATAATTTTAATTATATTTATTATATTTTAACTGTATTTAACCTTATATCCACACAGCACTATTTAATTTTTTAAAATTATATTTGCTATGTTTTAAACTGTAATCAGATTGTGTAGTTGTTAGACACTTTGAGTCCCCATGGGGAGAAATGCAGGGTATAAATTAAGTAAATAATCAATAAATAATAATTACTCAATTGAAAGAGGTAGGTAAAATGATTATGATAATAATTTTGACAATAACAACCTGCTAATGGTAACCCTGCAAAAAGCACTGAACATGACCAATTGGAGAAGAAAGTATGCCACAAAAAACAAGTATTTAAATCTGAGCAGTACATAAGTATCTTGAGGGTATAAGTGGAGTGAACCTCCCTGAACATAATGAGACTTTTGAGCAAATGTGCATAGATCTTGTGGTACCTCTTCATTTGTTTTCAAGTGAACATAACCTTGTTGAAGAGAAGCAAAGAGGTGTTGAGATGAAGACTTGTGAGGATAGAAAACCACAAAACAGAGGCAGAGGATTTCAGGGACCCAAAACCAGACATTTCTTGTAAGCCTCTTCAATGCCCATTCCTCCACAACACCCATTTCAAGTGACAACATAGAGGAGGAGCTGGCAATGCTAGAGGTGAAGAAATTACATTTTGGAAGCCAAGTTAGTTGAACGTCCTATTCAGAGTTCCAGGCAGGTTGGTGGAAAGAAAAAAAGACTCATAAACAGAACTACAAGAAAGTTCAATGTATTGAAGGAAGAGAAGACTGCACCAGTGGACTCAATGGAATTTTGATTGAAAATTTGTAAAGAGGGAGCCTCCCTTTCAAAATGTTTTAAGAGACAATGCTGTTAGTAAATGACTACTCTACGTGGTATTGGAGAAATCCTAGTCTCGTTTCTGTATGTTGATTATATACTATATAAGTCAATCTCATGTGTAAGTTGAGGGAAGGTTGGGGGTCACAATTATGGACTTTGATATGATCCATAAATAAATCAAGAGTCATTTTTCTGCTCAAGCATTCACCTTTGACTACTCTACTCAGAGAAGGGGCTGATTCCATTTTTGATCAAAAGTAAGGTCCACATTTTGGTTTCATCAGAGGAACCATCACCTTCTGGTTAATGGCAAGAGCTTAGAGAAAAGAATGCTTCATTTTTAAAAATAAAAAAAATGTTATATCAATTTGTGGATGCACTGGCTTAGGTTTTTTTAGTTTAAGCTCTGAATAGGATTGGATATAATTTAGAGCTAAACAAGTAGAACAGTTTAGACTTGGATGGGGTAGAATGAGGTGGTAGAGCAAGTGGTAATTAGAAACACCCAAATTCACATTGAAACTGAATTTGTGTGAACATTTAGCATGGCAAACTCTAGCCATTAATAATCTTTAAAAGAAGCTTGCAACACCACAACTGGGTGCCATAGAATTAAAGATTTGAGCTGTGCGGCTAATACACAGATGAAACAAAAAAGTTATTTTAGAAAATTTCAGGAGTATATTTAAACAGAATCATAATAATGTAACATTGACAAGAGAATGAATTATATTAATGGAACTCCTTTGTGTTTTTTTCAAAAATTAAATGGAATTATATTTATAATAGTTTTGTATCACTTTAGAATTCATTTCCAATGTTTGAGACTCATTAGTTTTCAGAAGAGATTAGGTGTGAGGCACTTGCAATCCCCCCCCCCCCCCCAATGTACTAGTGTCTGGTGTCATAATTGTGTCCACTAACTACAATTGTTTCTTTGCAGAACCACCCATGATTTCTTTTGGGACCGTCCTGCAGCTACTATAAGATATCTCATTTGCACAGCAAAGCTATTTTCTTCCATTCTGATTCAAACCACATTAAATGGTCAGTTTAAGTGCTGCCACAGACTCACTAGAATCAATGGAATTTGTCTAGGTTCTAATTCAAGTCCCATTGATTTGAACTGGTCAACTATAAATGTGGGGCTTAAATACCCTTAAAGCACCAAATCTTTTTCTGATTTTGGAAACAAATGCCCTTTCTACTCTACCCTATATCCCAGGAATTTGCAAATCATCTCGAGTAGTCCTTACCTAGGAAAATCTTATGAAATTTGTAAGGTCACCATGAGTCAACAGACACACATGCATACATGATTTGTTTAAACATAATGAAGGCTGGATCCAACAACCCAACTGTGAATTTTCACTAACCTGGGAGACTCCACAAACCAGAGACTTCTAATGTTCTCAACTTTTTCTCCAGCTCTGCTACACGATTGCCTAGGATTCTGAAATGAAGATGCAATATTTCAAAAAGGGGACTTTAAAAAGACAAAACCACACAAATGACAGGATTATTCCTTGTAAGGGCTGACATATATCTCACTGCAAAATACCTTATTTCTGTTCACACAAGTAGACACACACACATTCGTTTATAAAGATATAGTACTTTATATGATAATTCAGCTTCACATTAGGTTAGAAATGTCTTCAACCTTTCAGACTAGGTGGAAATAAAATATACTCATGCAATTCGCCTGTTCTTAAAGATGTCATCTCATGACTCAGGTTTCTCATACCAAGTCCATAAGTTGATCTCCTGCTTCATTATAATTCATTAGAAATACTTCCATCAGATTTACGCAATTCCTTTGACTCCTTACTATGGTGAATCCTGATAAAATATGTGTGGATTTTATGGAATGTACACTTACATAAGTATCAACAAGGTCTATGTTTGAAGAAGGAAGGAATATCAGGAAAGCTGGCATACTAGGCAAGAGAAACATGAATCTTAGATTGTCTTACTAATAAAGTGTCAGGAAAGAAGAGGTATCAAAACTGAGAGAAAGGAGGGAAGAGAACCTAATTTAATAAGACAAAGAAAGAATAGTAGGAAATGTTTAAAATGATTACAAAGATTGTGATATCTTGTGAGGACCATCCTAAATTACAACATATGATTTTTTTTCCCATTCCAGATGACAAAAATGCTGCATCAAAAATAATGTAATAAATAGGATTGAGCACTGTTTTGGAAACAGATGAGATGGAATGGAAGAAATCAGATATTTACACCAGTTCAATGAAAAAGATAAACAGTGCTGCTAGAAGTATCAGGAAACCGTGAAAAGGAATATTTGAGTATTAAATTTAGGAACACTGTGTTTGTCTTGTTCAACTTAAGAAACAGGTGGAATATCTGAGAACTGCAGGGGAAGCCAGCAAACTGGAATTGGATCATGAGTGGAATACTATGATGAGAAGAAATGGTTTTGAGTCTACAAGAGTCTACATGAGCAAACAATGAAGTAAGTGGCAGCAAAGAAAAGCAGAGAGATTGAATGTTTTCAAATGATCCTTGTTTTTCAATCCTCACATCACCTTTGTAGATACAGAATGAAGTGAGGGCACAAGAGTTATAATACCATAAAAATAAAAGTTAGATTTATAAGTCGTATTTTGGACGGTGAGATGCTTGTGAAGTGACAAGTTCTTTTGAATAGTTATCAGGTTTGTGAAATTATAAATGCAGTACAATCATCCATACACATTTGATGGGGTTAGGGAGTGAAGGACCCCCACAAAAGAAATACAGAAACACCATTTTTCAACTTGTAGAACATATCTCTGGGAATGTAAAGCTTCTCCAGTATTTGGACGAGTGCATAGTTTCAGTGCTGGTATATGACTCTGGGGACTAGGGTTTGAAATCCAGCTTGGGCATGAAAACCCACTGGGTGACCTTAAGTACGTCACACTCTCAGTCTCTGAAGAAATCTTGTCCGCCACATCCACCCACCAAAAAAAAAATCGATGGAAAGCTTTCCATAAATTAGGAAAAAAAACTGATGGCACACAACTACTACTACTACTACTACTACTACTACTACTTGGAAGAATTGCACAATCCTAAAAAAAAAATCTGAATTTGTACAAAAACGTCTTTCCGGCCTAGATTTCAATATTTTATTTACTTACCAAAACACAACTTTTGTAGAAAACATTGAAATATTCTGCCTTCATTATCTTCCTTGAATCCCAAGATTTATTGATACCATTAATATGAATAAATAATAATAATAACAATAATTTATTTATAGACCACTCTCTCTCCCCGAGGGGACTCAGGGTGGTTTATACACAAAAACAAAGACAAACATTCAATGCCCAGACAAATGGGAAAAAATTACAATAATACAACATAATAAAGAAGAAGAAGAAGAATAGTGAGCTTATCACATAAAGGAATTGACATCAAAGTGAAAATTCAGCATTATTTATTATTTATTTATTTCAAAATGAATTTAGTTAATGTATTTTTATTTGTGTGCAGTGATTTTTTTACAACAGATTGTGTTCAAGAATACTCACAAAACAAATCCCATAACCCTAATTGTGATTATAACAAAATATAAAGAGCTCAATTAAAGTTCATTTAAAACATCTTAATGATTTTTAAGTATACCAATAGATCCGTTAATAATGCCCAGTACCAATATTATATTCACTTTAAGCAATTCACATTTCTTGGAATGGTCTCTGTTTAAGATTGACAGCAGCAGTAGTGACAGTGACAACACAAACACTCTAGTTATATAGAACAGACAACACATTTCAAGCTTTGTTTAATCACTAGTGAAGGTACCTACTTGTTGGTTTGCCTCTGATGTTGAATTACCATGTTTTTCTCATGGATTGTTTCTAGTAAAGCAGTAGCCAAAGATTTGAGGTCAGAAATGGACTGTGGCGTGGCTGGTAAGCTGCAGCCATGATCCTCTGAAAGCAGTTCTTGTACTAGGAACATTTGAACCAAAACAAAAAGAGTCATGTCTAGAAATGACAAGTCCATTGATTAATCTTACTTCACCCCAAACCAAACCTTATTCATACTGCTACAATTACATGACCCACCACAACAAGAGACACAGCACAGGACATTGTAAAAAATTGTGGTTCACTACAAGATGTTTCTTTGAAAAAACTTATGAGTCAAGGAAAAAATTTAGTATACAGATATTTTCATGCCACAGAGAAAGATTTCAATCACATCTATATATCATTCAAGGGAAAATATATTTGCCATTCCCTCTATTGATGTTCCATGGCACTGTGCTAACACCCACCACCGTGTAAGAAATTATACTGTTTAGTTGGTATTGCACTACCTGACATCTACAGGAAAGTAGCAGCCAACAATGAAAGGACCAAGGCATTGACATCTCCGGCCCATCCTCTGTTTGGATATCAGCCAGCATGCCAATGACTTAAATGAAGAAACAGCTTCCTAAGATTTACAAAGATACTCGCAGCCACATCTCAGCAAGTGAGAGCCCAAAAAATGGGAGGTAAAAACCTGAAACCTCAATCAGTGGCTGAGACTGGATAAGAAACTCCCTCCTGGGCACACAGAAGGCTGGCCAACTTGGAAGGGGCTGAATAGTCTGCACTCTGGGCCCACAAAATGCAGAGCCAACCTTAAGAAATTAGGCTACGAAGTGGAGTTTGTGACATGCGAGTGTGGAGAGGAGCAAACCACAGACCACTTACTACAATGCAGCCTGTGCCCTACCACATGAACAATGGAAGACATTCTTACAGCGACACCAGAGATACTCCAAGTGACTGGCTTCTGATCAAAGGAAATTTAGCATAATGCCAAGTTTTTTTTTAACTTTGTGGTTTTTGTAATACTTTATAACTGTATTCTCAATTTGCTTCTGACACGATAAATAAATAACTGTGCTAATACAATTTCCAGTGAATTATGTGATTAGGTCAGACAGTATGGTTGGATATGTTCATAGCATAAACGGCACTTCCTGACCAGATAAAATTTTCCAGGACTTTGGTCTTCACACATAGCGATGGCCTCTTTTCTAAAGCAAACAGACATACTTGTACAAGTAATTTGTGGTTTATTTATTTATCATGTCAGGAGCGAACCAAAACAGTTGTATTACATTAAAAACAAACAAACTCCAGAAGCAACCAGAAGCGACTTGCCAGCATGTAACCAAACAAGTAATTTATGGTGCAAATTTTGATATTTATGAAAACATCATACCACTAAAAAAAGTTTAATACATAACGCTACAGAAAAATGAACCAGATTCCAGCCATAACTGAGATAGTATTCATGTGCACGCCACTAAAATTAACTAAGTTCCATTATACAGAAATTGTGTCCTTTATATAAAATGACAAAATCAAGATTTGCCTTTTGGATTTTTAAAAGCAGTGTATGTTTGAATTCATGCATGGATATGGAGGGCTAACTGTATGAGTATTTGGTTGAACAACATTTTTGCATTACTTTCAAAAAATAAATTTGAAGACGTAAGTCTGAGCTGTACCTTGTTTTGCAGAGAGGACACCCGTTAGCGCACTGCTATTTGACTTATTATTAGTCTTAGAATTTTTCCTCCTCTCTAGAGCATTCTAAACAAATAGACAACAACAACAACAAAAACTTAGAGAAAGTGAACATGTCTTTCTGTCTTCTCACATTTCCTCCCCACTTGCTTGTATATAAATATCTGTCAATTGAAGCTACACTACCTGCATCTGATGAAGTGGGCTGCAGTCCATGAATGCTTATGCCAAATAAATCCTGTTAATTTCTTAAAGTGCCAAGAGGCTCTTTTTGTAGTCTCACAAGGGATGTTGCTAATGGAAACTCTCTTTCCTAACAAACAATTTGCATAATTTAATCATAATAAGTAATTGATTAATTCTTCCCACACTAGCAGATTTTATTTAATCATACAAAGTAATAGATTAATTTCCCAATGCTAGCAAAACATATGATATTCAAAGCCTGCCAAAATGTTATGTAAAAGAAAATGGCTCATCAATTCGGCAAACTAATTCAAGTCTACATTACAAATGTATGAGTGAGACATGCAGCACATTACACTGCAAAAACAAAATTTACCTTGTACTTTGCAATATTTGATTTGAGAATATTGACCTCTTCTTGAATTTGTTTTAATCGCTCATGAAGGTATCTAGAAAGTTAGAAAATAAATATCAACATATCACTCTTTTCTAGTTTTCCCATAAGCATTTCAAATGGGTCTGAAATAATAAAAAAGAGTGAACCCCTTTAGTGCAGAAAGCAATGCTCAAATATTAGTAAAATAAGGATTCGCCGTAAAATACCCGAAACCTATTAATGATCAAGTCCATAAATCCCCCAACAGTGGGCTTGATACCAGTCAGCCCTACTTCCTTTCCTAAGGAAACTGAATTTGGAGGACCTATGGGGGAATCTGAGGTGTGCATATTTCTGGCAAAGGTCCTTAACACCTGGATGCTCCTAAGTTGTTTAGTGGATATTGACACCAGGGGCCCTTTCTCAATACAGAATTATAGAACAACAATTCCACTTTAATTGCCATGGCTGAATTATATGGAATATGGGGGTTTAATGAGTCATTAAAGCTCTTTGGTTAAGAATTCTAACCTGCCCCCCCCCCCCAAAAAAAAAGCCTAGTTGCAAACACCAGATTTGTTGCTAATGAACCAAGTTCTCCCACACCTTTGCTTGTAAAGTTTATATTTGACTAGGAACAGGGGAAGTGTAGAGGATCAAGGAGAGAAATGACTGGATTGCATATCCAGATTAATAGTCTAAGTTTAAGTGTTGGGAGAGGCAAAGTGAGTAACTGGAATACTTGATTTAGGGCCTTTCCATGAAGACCTATATCCCAGAATATCAAGGAAGGAAATCCTACATTATCTGAGTGTGGACTCAGATAACCTAGTTCAAAGCTGTGTGGAAGGGCCCATTGGCTGGGGGAATCTGAATTCATGAAGATCACCAAATGACATTGGACCAATTGAAATCTTTAAAGTTGTCTTACTTTATGGCTCTTGTGAAATTAAAAGTAGGAAAATGTATGTTCTTCTTGAGAAAATATTTATAGATATATATATGAAATACAAAATACAAGTACAAAATGCTCGGGACCAAAAATGTTTTGGATTTTTTTTTCAAATTTTGGAATACCTGTATTTGTATGCAGGTATATAACGAGATATCTAAGGGACAGGACCCAAGTCTAAATACAAAATTCATTTATGTTTTATATATATATTGTACACATAAGCTGAATATAATTTTATACCCAATTTTAAATTAATTTTGTGCATGAAACAAAGTTTGTGTCTACTGGATTATCAGAAAGCAAGGCTGTCACCATCTAAGCAACCTATCTGGACAATTGTGGACTATTTTGGGTTTCACAATTCCAAATAACGATTAAATATAAGTAAAATACCACAGTTTCAAACATCAATCAAAGAAAATTCTGAAAAAAAACTCAAAGAATGTTCATTTTAAAATAAACTCACCTGTTCTCCATACAAAGAGCATCAACATCAATGATGCGATTTACATGTCCTCCAAGAACATGGTTGAGCTCCTGGTTTAGTCTGTCGGACTTATCTTGGTAAAAAGAACGTTCCCCCTTTACGTCCTGCAGCTCATCCAATGTTGCTTGAAGATCATGTTGCAGAGCTTCAATCTGATAAGAAAGCATTACCAATGCAGTGGCATATATACACTTTTACAGTCAACGATTTTAAGAAGAGATGCTAACAAAAGGACTTTGTCTCTTCTTACAGCTAATGCTACAAAACATAGATGCCAGAAATGCCTCGGGGATCTCAGTAGAACTGAAGACCAAACTATACGTGGCAGTGATAAGACAGAAAGGGTGGAATGAAGCAATCAAATCTGAAAGGGGAAAAGAAGGGATATAGAGGAGAGGATTTCAATACTCATCCAGGCCTCTTCAACCACTCTCACCAATTCCCATACCACATGGAGTTTGGCGAAGTAAGGAAGAGAAAGGAGGCAAGCCAAGGAAGTAAGGAAGAGAGAGGACACAAGCAAAGACATGGACAAGGCACATCTCGTCTATGTCTTGTCTATATATGCTTTTACGACTCACACAACACAATTAGTTTATAGGATGGCTACAGGGAACCACTATGTTTAGAGGGAATACAGTACTGAAAAACATTTGGTGGGGAAACAGTAAGAGCAGAGCTATTGCTTATTGGCTCCCTGTCAGTCCCTGGTGGGAAGTGGTACTGACAAGAGAAAGACTTTCAAGCAGTGCTCATGTGTCTCACATGACTGGGGCGCTACCAACACAGCCAGTCTAATTTATTTATTTATGATATTTTATTCTGTCATTCGTATGATGTAGGGACTCGAGACAGCTAACAATAAATATAAAATAATGTAAATACAATTTTAATGTATTTTTTTTTAAAAAAAATAAACAATTTAAATATTTAAACCATCAACTAACTTATGGCATATTAAAGTACACGGAAAAATACAGTTTCATATAAAGAGGAAGGCTCTCCCAAAAATCTATTAAGTCTAGAGTTTATACTTACTTTACTTCGGTGATCCCTCGTTGTCTGAGTAAGATTGTCCTCCAAGTGTGTTCTGGCGGTGGGTACGTAGGTGACTGTGGAGCCCTATTCTTGACCCGCATGTTCACCTGCAGTGAGAGCATCTGTTTCCATGGGGAAGGCAGTCCCAGTTGGGGTTGGCTTGATGCACCTTCCTCTTGGCACGTTTCTCTCTTTCGCCCTCCATTCGTGCCTCTTCAAATTCTACAACACTGCTGGTTACAGCTGACCTCTAGCTAGAGCACTCAAGGTCTAGGGCTTCCCAGCTCTCAGTGTCTGTGCCAGAATTTTTAAAGTAGGCTTTGAGCCCATCTTTAAATCTCTTTTCCTGTCCTCCAACATTCTGTTTTCCATTCTTGAGTTCGGAGTAGAGTAACTGCTTTGGGAGATGGTGATCGGGTATTTGGACAACATGGCCGGTCCAGTGGAGTTGATGGCAAAGGACCATCATTTCAATACTGGCGGTCTTTGCTTCTTCCAGCATGCCGACATTTGTCCGTCTGTCTTCCCGAGATTTGCAGGATTTTTCAGGGGCAATGCTGATGGAAGTTCCAGGAGTTGCATGTGATGTCTGTAGATAGTCCACATTTCGCAGGCATATAGCAGGGTTGGGAGGACAACAGCTTTATAAACAAGCACCTTGGTATCTCTATGGATGTCCCGGTCCTCAAACACTCTGTGCTTCATTTGGAAAAATGCTGCATTCTCAGAGATCAGGCAATATTTCAGTGTCAATATTGACTTTTGTCAACATTGAGTTTATAATGACCTAACACCATGACTAGCTATGAGCAACTGCACCATGAATCAGGTAGGTGAAAAGTTTGATGGTCTGTTTTTGCTTCTCTATTATTCCCCCCACTTAAGAGCCATTGCTGTACACCTGAGGGTATTTAATCATTCACAAGTTTGACAAGTTTACTTACTTGTTCACGTGCTTTCTCCAACTGCTGGACGAGATCTTCCCTTTCGTGCGGTGCAAAATGCCGTGCACCAACTTCCTCATCTCCGAGTCTTTGTTTCGCTATTGTCATTCTGAGAAGCTGAAAGAAACACCAGAGACAGAGCTTTGAGCACGTGAATGAAGGCAGTTTAATGATACTCACAAGAGACACACCTTGTACACATTTTACAGCAGTAAATGTTGTTTCACCACTAAATGTAACAGGCAGTTGCTGACCATCATGTGCTTAAGCAAATGCCTTTGATCCCCATGCCATCCATGTTGTTCAATATATGCATGTATTATAGGCTGAACTATAGGGGATTCATTTCTGCCAGTAGATAGCATAAATCTGCTATCCTTTTACTTTGGTAGAAGAGCAAAGCGTGCACTACACAGATAATGTGCAGAGACTTGTACAAATAGAAAAGGAGGAAAAATAGGTGTATGCCTCATGCACTACTGACAGCTTCATACTCACTACAGGCATGGCAAGGGTGTGTGCACATACTCCCCTACCATGCAGTTTTACTCTCTACCAAGACACTGCTGACTGGTTCACTTTACCAACTATCCCACAAATTTAAGTTGACACATGCAATCTCAAGCCATGAGCTTTCTGTGTAGAATATTCATCACATACTGAACAAAGGGAAAGCATTTTCTGCAAGCAAACCTTCCAATGTAGGCTTTGGAAAATTGCTCAATTGTGATATATCAACATGCATGTCTGTACAAATCTTACAAAATTACACAACTACACAGTCACAAAAAAGAAAGAAAGATGAAGATGAAGGAGGAATGTACACAGACAATGCTGCACAAATACAAATCCACCTCAATCACTTACAAAATAAAGTATTATATAGATTGTTAGTTAATTAGTGTTTCATGATTCGTTTTTTGACAAAATTATTCTTGTAACTGTTCTGAGTATGTCAGAGTATATATGGGATACAAAAAATTATGACAATGATGCAAGAATCCAAATGACTTATTATAGCACAAGGGAATGTATGAATATTGGGACTGAATCGTTACATCATTTGTGACTTGCATATCTATCCATAAAATGTCTCTGGGTCCCCTCCTGGCATTCCCCCTTCAGGGGAGTTCCAACACCACACATCTGACTACACAGAAACTACTTTGTGAGGAAATTGCCACAAGAGATCTGGTACGCCTCAACGTGCACCCTCCTGAGGCAGATCTGTATTTAAACCTACAGATTTGTGACTGTGTTATCTAGTATAGCCTTTGGGCTTCACTTTAATTTCTGGGAGAGAACCATTTTATCTTCAGAATAACAAACAAAATGTTATTAGACATCACTGATTTGTTGAGCTTCTACACCTGTTATTTTTGCATATTATATCAACACTTAAGGTGAAAGACTCCGTATCCCTCTCTCTCCAACCTTCAGTTCTGTCACTCTCTTATGTTAAGATCTTCTGGGGAGGCCCTGCTCTTGGTCCCGCCTCCGTCGCAAGTGCGGTTGCTGGGAGAAGAGACAGGGCCTTCTCAGTGGTGGCTCCTCAGTTCTGGTACTCTCTCCCAGTGAGATTAGATCAGCCCCTTCCCTCCTGGCCTTCAGAAAGAAAACAAAGACATGGTTGTGGAACTAAGCCTTTGAACAGTAAAGTAATGCAGTGCAAAGAAGAATTAGGGATTATGTGCAATGACAATTGGAATGGCTACGATTTACGATTTTGGATCATGTGATTTTAATATTTATACTAGGATGTGTTTAATGCTTTGTCTTAATATTTAAATATTGTTTATGTCTTATTGTTTAATGGTTTTAATTATTTTAATTCATAGTTATATGTTACTGTTTAGTTATTATGATTTTTTACATTTTTGTTGACATTGAATTTTTGCCATTAATATATTGTAAACCACCTTGAGTCCTCCCAGGGGTGAGAAAGTCAGTATATAAATACAGTAAATAAATAAATGTGTGGAGGAGGAGGATGCTGACACTCAAATCTGGTTACATAGGGATACTCTTCCTGCGATTTTCTAATTCTCAGGAAGAGTCAATGCATTCTAAACAATCTGATGTGGGAACCAGTCCAATGAGCCAGGGATTAGTGCTATATTTGAATCCATTGGCTACAAATATTTCCCTTCTTTCCTGTAAACTCTATAGCACAGCTGTTGCCCCTCTGACTATAAACACACCATACGTTGAGTGAAGGAACAATCCTTTTGTATTAAAACTTAGCAAAAAAGCCAGTAGAAATAAATGTTTGTAAAGATAGATATTCCAAAAAGCAATAAGGAATTCAAAGGCAGCAAGATAAAACAGTGTCCAAACGTAGCAATCAAAAGCAATATCTAAAAACATGAAAATACAATCCAAGGCAATGATTATCCAGTCAGGAATCAAACAAGAAGCAAGAACAGACCAGATGCTGCTAGTCAACTTGAAAGGCTAGAAAAATCCATGAAGACAAGACCACTTGAACAGGAATTCCATGAGGCTTGTACTTGGTTTCCAAATGATGCCTGATCTGACAAGATTTTCTAAAGACAAACCTTAAATCCCAAAAACTGGTTTCGTTTTCCTCCAGTCTTTGACCTTAACTGACGAATTCTTTCGGATCTATGTAAACATTGAGCCTCTTGTCAATTCTGGCTAATCTCAGCCGTGGACTCTGTTTATCTGTCTCCTCATTAACTTTACCAGGTGTCAGACTGTCTTCCAAACTAGAATCTGGAGAGCTCACAGGCAGAGGGAGTAACCCTTCCTCCCAAGGCCTGACAGAAACATTATCATGAGAATCTGCCCTTTGCACTGAAGCCTCTCTGTCAGTGTCTGCATGAAACTTATTGACCAAAGTGTCTCCATCTTGGGCCTCAGAGTCAGCCCCAGCATCCCCCACATCAGAAGCAATAGGAGACAGATTTCCCTCCTCATTATCCACATCAGACACAGAAACATCAGGAGACTGAAACACAATCACAGGTACAATCACAGGCTGAGTCCCAACAACAGCTTTCCAAACTGTGTGTCATAATATGTTACTGGGTCACCTTCAGTGTGTAGATGTGTCATGCAAACGCAACAAGAAACCTCTGTGTCTATGTGAAACAAGTAATAAATCATATATTTTTAGATATATAAATGAAAGACATTCATGAGATATGTAAGTACCATATGTATTCATATCTCTTGGTTTAACTTTTTGTTTTCTAGTAGAACTGAATTACTGTGTTGCAAAATGCTCCATGTCTAAAAAGTGTATCACCAACTTGAAATGTTTGGAAAGCTCTTCCACCAGTCCACAGACTGCCACTTTGAGCTAAACTTCTCCCCTTCAGACGCACAGATTATACAAAAATGATGATAGCAATCACACTATGTAACACGATTTTTGTTCCTGGGTTATAAATGTAATTTCCTAATTAGTTTTATCATAAAAGCATGGGGAAAGTTTATTAAACTGTAAAAACTTTGTTTTTGCTAGACATCCTGCAGCACATTTTAGTGTAGTTTTTCAATGAATATCTCATAGAGTCTCAACCAATTCAACATAGTTTATAGCAGCCACAAACACGAAGTTTCTGGAGTATAACAACTGCTTTCAAAGTAAGTACCACACAATTAAACAGGAAATAACACTTTCAAACCAGGAACAGAACATTATTCAAATTTTGTTACATAGTGTTATTAGTCTAATCACAACTTTCAACAAAATGTCTACTGCCCAAGTCTGTAATGCAAATGTGAGCAGAAAGCAAACCTGGATCTACTAGTGTCTCCTCAGGTAAATAGGGCGGAATGCAAATAAAATTTAATATTATTTTATTATTAGTGATTTACACTTGACTGGCAACAAAAATAATTCCTCCTGCTTCCAGTGACCTGTGTTATACTACTGAAATTATTAAAGCTTAGTGTAACCAAGCAGTTGCTGAATTTGCTGGCCGAAAGGTCGCAAGTTTGAATCTGAGGAGCAGCATGAGCTCCCTCTGTTAGCCCCAGCTTCTGCCAACCTAGCAGTTTGAAAACATGCAAATGTAAGTTGATCAATAGGTACTGCTTTGGCAGGAAGGTAATGGCGCTCCATGCAGTCATGCCAGCCATATGACCTTGGAGGTGTCTACGGACAATGCCGGCTCTTTGGCTTAGAAATGGAGATGAGCACCAGCCTCCAGAGTCGGACACGACTGGACTTCATGTCAAGGGAATACCTTTACCTACCTTTACCTTTGAAAAATTGAGTATGTTGGACTACAGCTCTCAGATTATCTAGCCAGCGTGGCTTTTGGGAGATTCTGCATGATAGTTCAAAACAACTTTTCCAAGGCTGGATAATTGTGTGTAGAGACTGTGAACTCTATTTCTGGTCCTCAAAACAAATTCCAGGATTCAGGAGCCTTTGAGTCTAAGCTCACCGGGCTCTTGTAGGCTCATCTCAGGGTTCAAATAAAATATATACTCCAAAGGTGCCATGGACCCACAGCTCAGAGAAGTGCACACTACAAAAAGATCTTAGATCAGAGTCCTAAAAGCTGGAATTGCAGTCTTTACAAGTTTGTTCAGTACCTTGGACACATCAGTGTGTTTATGTCTAAACTTCCTAGACAAAAAAACCCCCATGTCATTGCTTTTGTCAGGCGAGATGCACGCAACGAGAAAAACCCAAACATTTCATCACTGCTAATGTGATCTTTGATAGCAAGTGTGCATAGTAGCATGAACTCTATTAGAATCTAACCTTTTCCCAACCTACTGTCAAAAGCTGTTTTGAGGACTGAAAATAAAGTACACAAGCAGCGCCCAGAATGATGAGGCCATAGCGGATGCAACCATTTAATTTTCTTCCCTACTTTGCATAGCTGGAAGGAAGGGGGGGGGGGGAGAATTACATCTCAGTGGTCCAATTTGTAGAACTGACGCAGAGGCATGAGAAATCTGCAGTGAAAACTCCCATGACTTAACATTTTGCAGCTGCGCTACAGAATTAATGCACATCATTATATTTCATGAATTAGGAGATCACTCTTCTCAAATTGAGCACTGCGTATTAAGGCTACCTAAAGCAATTTCAGGATGCCAATCACTGAAGTACCTACGGGCCAATTAAAATA